GGGGGGTAGAAAACCCTAAACCCTCGGGGAGATCTACACCCGAGCGAGCGAACACGATGGACACACCCTAAACCCTAAACCCTAAACCCTGAACCCTAAACCCTAAACCCTAAACCCTGAACCCTCAACTATGGGCCTTGGAGGGGTTTAGCGGCTCTGGCTCTCTGGTTGGGTGGTTCTTCATAGACAAGGAGGACATAGGTTACTGGCTTAGGGTTTAGGGTTTAGGGTTTAGGGGGTGGGGGTCGGAGTTCTGGTTCCTCTGCTCTGGAGAAGCGTTTGGGGTTTGAGGCTCAGGGTACAGCCATGGTTGGGAATTCAAATGAAACATAATCTAAACTCCTAATATCCCCCTTCGTAATCCCAAGGGCGATCCCTTGAGTTTAGACTACAACTCGGATTTTGGCTATCAGGCTTGTGGTTGTGCTGAAGCTGCGAATTTACATTTCAGGCTTATTGGGTTTTGGTTTAGATTTTTTAGCGAAGGCTTAGGGAGAAAATAGGAAGTTCGATTTTAAGTCTAGGGCTCAGGGTTAAGTCAGGCGGGAATTCAATTTCTAGTTAGGCTGCAAGGCTAAGATAGGATTGGGAAGTTAAATCTTAGGTGTAGGGCTCACGGTTAACTCAGGTAGGACTTGACTTTTTACGTAGGGCTTAGGGCTAGCATAGGATGGTAAGTCAGATTTCGCGCCTTCAGTTTGGGACTTTAGTTTGCGGTAGGGTTGGGAATCTTGATTTTAACTGTCGGTCTAGGGCTTAAGTTTAAACATGGTCGAGAATTTAAGTTCTAAGTGTCGCGCTGTCAGGGGTAAGTGCGGATTGGAAATTTCGATTTTAGGTTGCAAGTTCATGGATGGACAAACTGGGGTTGGGTCTTTGGGTTCTGGGTTTAGGGCTCAAGGCAAAATTAAGCTTGGAAATCCTGATTTCATGTTTAGGAGTAACCAAAGAATGTAAGATCGAACACCTAAATTTCAAGGCATAGGTTTCCTTGTCGGCCCAAACAGGTGGGTATTACATGCCTAGGCGCCAAGTCATCTAGGTCAGAACCCAGATGGGCCCAATGTACATAAAGTACTGGATAGACTGATGGATTATCGACACTTGGGTCCTTATGTGCCAATCTGATTGTGAGTAATGACGGTAGCAAATATATGCATGTAGATGCTGTATACACATATACGCTAGGGGATCAACATTATTGTCTGTTTGTGGTCTTTCTAGCGTGCCCAGAGCAAAAAAACAATAACCTTGATATCCTCCTATATGCATATGTTCGACATGATCGCTGTATAGTCCAAAAAAAAGCCCCTCCATGCTACCTGATGCATTTCCTGGTCGCAGGATTCTTCATAGGCTCTAAGGCCTGAATATCCAAACGCTGCATCGCTGAAGTACTGCAGGAGCCAAAGCGATTACTGATTGCCAGTTTGAAGTCTATACAACACACTCCCGAACCTAATTCTACGAAAAGCCCAGGACCAAAACAGTGGGAAATGGTTCAAAGTTCCAAACTAATCAGACGTGCCTCGCAAAGATGCTGTTCCAAAGTGACACAGCAGGGAAAGGCACGCGGTCCACCTATTGTGGTTCAGGGACTAGATTTCATCCTCGGGGCAGGCACTGGTGATTCTGAACTACGTTTGCCGCTTGTGTTTTAGGCTCACAGGGTGTATGGGTCTTAGGTTATGATGAGAGAAGCCAAACGATCAAGCAAATTGTTTCATTTATACTGCAAAACGATAGCGAAGCCATGGCCACGTTGAGGCGTGCCAAGACGTGGCGATTTACATGTAAAATTGGGACCAGACGCGAGCACGGAATACAAAGCAACTGCTGAAAAAAACAACTTTAGTCACCGAAATTCAACGTGTATAATTTCCCATAGAAAAGCTCGCAAAAAATTGGAATCGGAGCTCTACATGATAAATGCTAATTTCAATGCAAAACTCTGCCAACGATATCGTGCATGCGTAACTTGCGGAATCAGCTTGCTCATGATGTGGATTTTGTTACGTTAGTTTGCACGAAATGACGCCTGATTTGAATTCAACATCTGCATCTTCATCCCAAAGCCTCGTCACACTACACGCCTCGACTACAAGGTGTTCTCTTGATCAAAATGCCTGGAGGCGGAGCTTGGTAACTTTCGAAGCTAAACGCCATGGCCTTCGCGTGGCAGCGCGTAGGGCGCTGCCCGCAGTGGTGGTGCTGTGACCTGGGCTTCAATGGATGTGAAAGTTGTGGGTGCAGATGTTTGGGGTCATCGGATTTTTACATATGTGGGCTTGCGCTTAGCCATCAAACGTAAAGGGTCAAAACCAGGGAACGTCAGTTAGCTTGGAAAAAGGTGCTGCGCGAATCGCAAGTACTACGACAGTACTTCACTTGCCCAGATGGGCGAAAAAGCCATCCAGGATGTCACCAAATGACAGCCACGAGTGAGGCCAATACCTCCGCTCACCAGTTTGCAATGGTGTTTAACAACAACGACATAGGCGCAACTGGACAGGAAAGGCATGGGCCGGTGTTCCCTAGCATAAGAAGACAACGATACACATGCGTATTGATATCTGTCCTGATCTTCCATGCGCTGAGGCCGAAACCTGGTTTGCTTGCACATGACTGCCCTGCATGTCTGGGAAGTACCAGACTAACACAAGAATTACCAAGACACGCTTGCTGATTTCCATCAACGAAAGAGCAGATCGACTACAGCTCTGATGTCATTGACTAACCCAAAACCAGAATTTGTCGCCACAACGCCTACACGGCCCTGGTGCCCCAAAACAATTTCTCGACAACTTGGGTCTCCCGAAGTCTGGGATGTAAAGAACTTTCCCCAGTTTGTCACAGGATGGCGACTACACATGACAGACAACCAAGTTCTGATTGTCGCTTTGAAAGCAGACGCTTTAAATTTCGGCCAACGTCATGGGGGGGCTTAAGTACCAAGCTCTGGACACCGCATCAAGTGTCGGCAAATCATTAGGTCTGCTGGCAACGGTCCCAAATTCGGCCTGGCTGTTCGGGAGGTTCCACCATCATTCTTTTTGATTCCGGGATTACTCTTTGCAATAACGTTCAAACACATTTTAGAGGTGGGACGCCTTCACGAAACAATCTTATTCACAACTTGGCAAACTGAAAACTCACTTAATCTGCATGGGGAAGAACCCGAAGTCCAGGAACTGAATACATCAACATACTCGCCCTAAGTCGCGAGTATTAGACCCTAAGCCCTATCGCTAAATCATGTAGCACAAGCCGTAAGCCTAAAAATCCTAGGACCCACTACTACGGTGGTCAAACTTCAAGAAGGATGCGCGACGAACGACCCTGAACAGGACTCGAGGGTAAATCAAGATTTCTTGTTCCGAAAACGGTCATTCTGGAAATGCTTTGCCGTAGACTTGTCTTTAAGAACATGCCGGAGCCCCAAAAAAAAACGTCAAACCGCACATCATCCGCAGGCTTCTGTCCAGTAACCTATATTTGTGAGAAACCCCATCTGAAGGGTTTAGGGTTTAGCAGATGCCCTCCCTTACCCATGGATGTTCTGAAATTGATTCCTAATTCTTTGCTTATCCCGAAGGGTCCAAGTACCCAATAATCGTATACTTGCCCCAAACCTGTACTATAGCACAGAACACATTGACAACACTCCCAACCCCTTTGAAGACGTCCCAAGCTTACGAGCTTCTGCTACAGGGTTTTGGGCTACCGACGGTGACAGCGTTTAGAGTAGCAGCTTCGCGCATATTTGGCCACCTGCCTGGGCCCCAACAGTACGTAAATTAGACTGATGGCCACAAATCCATAAACAGGCTAGCTCTACATACAGGTTCCAAGTAGCAGTATAGCCCCGATACCCAAATCCTCGAAGCTCATCTATAGTTGTTTCGAAAAAGTCCCCGCCCAGAACTGGCAGCACGGATTAGGGTTTAGGGTTTACCCAAGGTTTACCCAATGTTAAGGGCTCCTATGTAGTTCCTTTTTGGGTTTGTTACAGTTTCTTGGTAGCAAATTTAAAATACTACCTAAACAAACTACATTGGAGGTTCTGGGTAGGGTGTAGCCCCTTCATGTCCATCATCAATTTACTAACTAATATGTTGACGCTGACGCTGAGTGTTCTCATTATCCCACGGATGTGTAACCCTACGGGTCCAAGTACCCAATAACCATATACTTACCCAAAACCTGTACCATGTTTACCATTACCCAATACTCAGGTACCTAGTAATTGAGTATTTGGACCTTTAGGGTAAGGGAACGAACACAACCGATAGAACTTCGAAGGAATACACCCTTGGCCACCCAGGCGCGTAGTCGTGCGCTGGCGAGTGCGCTCAGAAGGTTCAGAGATCGCGTCCAGTTGGCCTCTAGAAGCGGAGCTACGGCTCACGTGGGTGTAGGGTGCCTAAACCCTAGACCCTAAAGCCCAAGATAAGGTCCGTCTAAACACTGAACATAAGCTCTGAGCAGTTTCCATTCAGCCTATACACCCTAAAACCCGAAGCGGTTTAAAGTCTGGAGTCCTAAGCCCTACACTTTCAGAAGCAGCGTTTAGGATTCAGGCTGTAATGGTCTAGGGCTACCACTACAGCTGGAGTCAGGCATGTTCTCCGCCATCTCCTTCGTTGCGTTGTAATGTACAGGCCCAAAGGATTCTTGCGGGGAGGAGGGGTTCTTAGGGGGGAGGGGATTACCGGAAGCAAGTAGACACAAAGCCTACCAGAATGCCCCAACTACCCCTGTATGGGTCTGTTCGGGTCCTGTTCGTGGATATTTGAGCTCTGACGCCAGTATTCGGCATGTCTAGGTAGTAGTCTTACCCCAGGCAAATTCAACTGTGACTCCATTTTAACCTGTGCGTCATGGGGCCCACAGGTAAACAAGGAATCGGCAAGCCCCATAACTTGAACGCTACACGAGTAAGCAATATGTACTAAGCTCCGAAGCCCTGAGAGCCCAAAGCCCGAACATTCCCAACCGTAAGCAGTACAATAATGGCCCAAACACCGAAACCCTCACACATAACCCTAACCCTTACAAATTAAAAAGCGCTGTGCGTTCCGAGTATGAAAATTTCAACCCCTAAACCGCTACACCCTACAGCTCGAACCCTCAACCCTAACCTGACTGACGGGCTCCTGGCCTCTTCTAAAGCATCCCAGGACACATTGAACACGGCTGTGGACCCCTGCCGGCCCCAGGTACATGGCTGAAGTACTACAGGGGCTCAAGGTTTAGGGGTTAGGGTTTACAGGTTTTGCGAGGCTTGTAGAATTTTTGTAGAACTCAGGGCTTGAGGCTCTATATCATTCAAACAATGTAGAACCAAATGGAAAACAATATGGAAAATCACATGAAAGCCGGACTTATATAGAGGTTCACAAGTTATCTCAAACATTGGGTCTAAAATGCCAGCTGTTCAGATCTTTTTCAGGTATCCTCTGCCGTTATACAGAGAATCTACGGCAGTGATATTGATTGTATCTAAGCCCCTACATTACCCTGAGCAGGATGTAAGGGACGTCTGCAGCATATGGTTTGAGGTTTATGGATAGGCAGGATTCTCGGACTAGCTTCCTACATTTGTCTGAAAAGACGGCAATCACGACGACTGGCTCCTGAATGCTGTGAAGACAGTTTTTGCGAAGCCTTCCACTGTGAGAATTTCTCGAAATTTCTGTTGCAGCCCCGTTTGCTTTCTCTATTTGAGAAGCTCGCATCTCTGTAACTTGGACAACTGTACGGCATTCAAAATCTCCTACAACTAATCTTGAAAACACCAATACCCAGACTACATCCCTGCATACCCCGCTACAGCCCCATATCTTTCGATATATCCCCGACAGGACAGGGTTTAGGCAACCATGCGGCAGCTACCTGAAATATGCTATCCATTGGATTACGTGGGGGTTATAGGGGGCTCATTCTAAAGGATCTGTATAACGGCGCGGTTTAGGGTTCAGGGTTTAGGGCATCAACCCTAGACCTGAACCGGCATAGTTTGCCTCAATCAGGCGTGTCTGCATGTCCGAAAGAAGTGGCAAGGATCGCGTCCATTGATGGCCTGGCGTAAATGGTTTGCGACGAAATGTTTTAAGGCCTACAGCTTAATAGTAAAAATGCTGATCTTGCCGGCTAGTGGTAATGGTAACAGGAACAGTAAGATCAACAATAATGACAATAAGGATAATGACAATGATAATGTGGGCTATAATAGTCTAAACTCCTAGCATCCCCCTTAATAACCCCTATGGTAGTTCTATATAATCCCCTATATAACTCCCCTTTAAGGAGTTTAGACTATGGCTCATGTACTGATAACGATACAACAAGAATACCAGTAACTAAGGGTTGCTTATTCCAGGGCTTGGGCTCAGACAGTGGACATTACAAGCACCCAAAACTAAAATCCTAAACCCTAAAGCCAGCAAGGTAGCAAAGAATGCCCGGGACTGAAGCGACATGCAGAATTCGGGAGTCTACAGAACGGGAAGGCACAATGTTGGTCTTAGGGTTATCCTAAACCCTAAACCCAAGCCCTAGTCAGGGCTAGGTCGTCCTCAGACTGCCTGCGCAATCAAATCGTGCTGTGAGCACGGGATGCAGTCAAGTAGGGCTGGCCTTCGCCGTGCCGAGCTGCAAAGTGTGTTTTTCTTAAACTGAGGTCCCCACCTTAGGTAGATACACAGACCCTCCTATGTAGTTCCTTTTTGCGTAGTATAGTATAAGCCCTTACCAAAAAAACATAACAGACCCAAAAAGGAACTACATTGGAAGCCCTGGGTAGAACATGGAAATCGTCCGAGATCATAGCAAGATCTCCGTCAATACCCCATATTCTATCTACTTAAGGGGGGCTATGGTCCGTATACAATCCCTTATAGCTAGTCTAGGTGTCTCTAGGCCCCCCCGCTTTTAGAAACTGCCGGGCTTAGGGTTTAGGGCTTAGGGTTTAGGGTTTAGGGCCAAGTTTAGGGCTCAAATAGGTACAGCGCAGGACTCCTTTACTAGTTTCTTTTGAAACAGGTTGAGTATCAGCAAATCTGATACATCCTGTACACCTAGACCCTCCAACTACGCGAGGGTCCAAGTACCCAATATGACGCTTCAGTGCCAAAGCCTGAAAACTTGCATACTTAAACCCCTAGGGAGACCCAAACCAAAACCTGGACCCTGAACGATGACGCGAACGGTAGAGGTTCTCCGGGAGCATTTTGCGGGGAGAAGGTGCTTTTGTGTAAGAGTGTAGAATTACTAGGTGTCGCGGGAGATGGTACATGCCCAGGTTTCTCTGTTCTAGTAACCTACGATCATGACTGCGCGGAACTTTGCCAAAAAATCCGCACGCCACGTCGACCGTAGATGAAGTTGCTGCAAGTTTTCGAAAGCAAAACCCAAAGGGTCGATGTAGGTGTATGGGATATACTTGGGCCTT